AAAGTGATTATGAATCGTTTTGCCTCCTTCCCTGATTCGGCTTTCGCCATTACGGCAGTTCTTCGAAGACTTCTCTCGACTCCTAAGCTAAAGCTAGTGGAAGTAGTCCTTTTTAAGGCCAAAATCCCGAGAGTCCTCTGGACTTAGCTCCACTTCCAGCTACTCACAACTTTAGTGGAGATGCGGGTGAAGAAAATTAAGAAGTTGCATGAGCGAGAAAATTTCTAAGCAAAATGAGAAGTATCAAGCTCAAGCTAACAAGCATCGCAAGCTTTCTGAGTTCAAAGAAGGTGATCTGGTGTAGGTTCATCTTCGAAAGGAGCGCTTCCCGCGAGGACAATTTGCTAAGCTCAAGCCTAGAGCTGATGGACCATTCAAAGTTCTCAACCGCATGGGTGAAAATGCCTACAAGATTGAACTACCAGCTGAGTATGAGGTTTCAGAAACATTTAAAGTTTCTGATCTTTTTCCTTATTATGGTGAAGAAAGCACTAACGACTCGGGGGCGAGTCTTCTTCAACTTGACGGGGAAAACTAGAAATAAAGGAAGTAGTTTTGGCTGTAGTTTTTCTGGGTAAATTTCTTTATAAATGTCATAAAAGAGAGGGGCTTTCTTTCTTCAGCATGTGAGGGAAATGCCCCGGGTACCGAAGTTAGCGGATAGAGAGGGCGGCGGGTGGAGGGAGCTTCACTTACCGAGAGGGATGAATTCGAGTAGTAGTTAGGGGAGGATCAAATCCGCTACACCCCTTTTTTACCTATTTGCTTTTATTAACTTCTTCATTGAAGACATCCATGTAGAAGAACGTCGAATCCATTCTCGATCCAATAGAAGTAGGGGATGGATGGCATGTCTCATTAGCTGGCACTGGCTTTGGACACAGGGGGCAGGCTATTTGGCTAGAATATTATGCCTTTCTATCCCTTTTTGTGAGGAAAGGGGGAAGGGATCGTCATGCAAAAACTAGAAGAGGCTCCTCTCAGAGGTGGTCCTTCCTTCTATTGATCGGTTGAGTCGACGAGAGCTTTCCCAGAGATTCTCATAGATCGGATGATCCTGAGACCTATTGTACCTCAGTTGGGTAATCTTCCAGCGACTAAGCTATTTGTCTGGCCAGGCGCTTCTCTGTGGGCTCTTGGGAAACAGTCTCATCTGGTTGGTGGATATCTGGGAATTAGCAAAAAACAGTACCAAAGAGGGACTTAGCGGCAAAGAGGCGATTAGACAACATAGGAAATCTGGAACTTTGTTTACTGCACTTTCTCTTAAGCAGTGCGCGGTGTCACTGCAGCAAGCGTATGCAGGTTCCGAATCTCCGAAGACTCTGTTACCTTTTCCTGTCTCGTTGATGAGGTCAGGTTATCCCATGACTTTCTTATGAGTCAGCTGTGGCATTTAGGTTTCCTATCTACAATTCATTAAACACCAGAAAAGCATTGGAGTCTTTCTTTTTTTATGATCTCCGACCCCGCAAGGCACTACTGGGCGGAGCTTCTCAATCCAATTCCTTACCACAGTTTAAGCTTTCGTTCCTTTCGTATAGTGGAAAAGGGCTGGCTTTCCCTATACGGAAGAAATAAGAAAGAAACTTACTAAATTAAGAAGACCAAAGCCATAAGCTACAGCTTCCCCTGCCGGAGTTGTGCTTGGTGGAATTCAGGCCTCAAATCATCACTTTCTCACCGACCTTTACCCATGCTAAACGTGTCCCAGTTTACTAACGAACCGGTGACGTAAAGCTTCTATTCTCAATTGATCCTTTTTTCTTCCCCTCTGCAGCCTCACAGTTGTCTTTTATTGCCGGAATGACTCTTGGTGAGCAAATGAGCTCAAATCAAGCTAGAGAACTTCCTGAACCAGATAGTGTGACGGCGGAACTTATTGCTATCTATCAATTCCCAGAGTTTAGTTCAGAACCTCGTAGGCCGGGAATGCCATCAATAAGCCTTTTCCTCTCGGTGTCAGTGTCAGCCAAGTTAGCATCGGCTCCCCCAAAGCCATCATTTTAAGCTGATGACATTGATGAGTGATCCAACAGTCTTGAGTGGTAGTTCTCAAAGGAGAAGGGATCCGAGGTACTAAGTAGCTATGGAATGAAGGCGAACTAAAAGCTTTCTCCCATTCTCCTTCGATTCGTGACGTGATTAGCCGGAACAGTCGATTGATCTGATCTACTCATATCAGAGTACCGCGCCAATGTCGTTTAAGACAGCTGAGTTTGACAGACTCTGTACGGGAAGAAGGGCGGGGACACTCATTAAATTATTATTATTAATCACAGGTATGAGTTTTAGGGCGACGGGCCTACGCCTACTATGAGAAGTGCCCATCCTTCTCTCAGGTATTCTTTCGACCGCGTCTAAAAAAAGAAAAAAACTTGACCTTTTTTTTTTAAAGACATCCCTCGAGCTCCGCAGCTTTAACACCGGATGGAAGTACGGTCAGATGAATAGAACCAATACTATTAGTCTCAGCGACTATAGGTCGGTTGACGGCAAGGAAGGAAGTTAAGTTTTCCCCTATCCTGTATGATTTTTAAAAGTAGGGTCTGTAGGCAGAATAGCTGCCCTAGGCAAAAGACTCCGAAATCAGTGATTCATTAGATAGAGAAGTCGTGAAAAGTTCTCCGCGAGAAAGAAGGACGCGACTCCTCTCTAGCCTAGCACCCTTTCCCTCAAACCTGAGAACAGGCATCTCAGAAGGAAAGTTTTTGAACTTTCGGGCGATGTCCTTACTAAAGGACCGGATAAGCAGCTAGATCGATTCCTAACAGATTGGAAAATCTTTCTTTGCTTAAAACACAGGAGAGCTAACTCGATGATCGACCAAGCCATTCAATGGCATCGGTTTTTCCTAGACCTCAAAGACTGGCACCTCCTTCAGATTCTAGAAAGTAGAAGACAAGGATAAACAAACCAGACCTAACCTAGTTCCCCTTCTATTCTAAAAGAAGGCTAGTCTAGGCTAGTTGTCTAAGTAAGTCTCGCTAGTACCTTTTCAATTGGAAGAAAGGATAGTTAAATTCTAAGGTAAGCTTTCTTAGCCGACAAGCCAGCCTTCTTTTACCTCAAGCCTAAGGAGAAGATCGGTACATCGATTCATCGGCCAAAGAGTCCTGGAACTGAGTCCCTATAAGCAATAGAGGCCTCTCTGCAGGCTTTCACGGAACTACTTAGCCTAGCCTATAAGGATAAGGAGCTTTTCTAGCTCTTTTCTTTCTATTTACGAGAGTACTTCGCTTGTCCTCCTTCCCTTATGTCAATCAATAAAAGAAGTCAGTCTACCCCTTCTCTTTATTATACTAGGATAGCTAAGCTAGTAAATAAAAAATCCGGCTTGAAAGGACACATCTGCAAGGGAAAGGGCCATGATTCCATTCAAAAAAGGACTTCTTTTATTGCAGAACCTTACTTATCTTGCTTGCAAGCAAGCTTACTATATCAATCACTTAGAAAACCGCCTTAACTGAAAAAAAAAGGACTAGACCGCCTAGGTGGGAGGGCAAGACCTACTAGATCTGAAAAGAGTAAAGAAGTAATGAACTCTGGCGGATCTCTGAAGACTGTACCGAGTGGATATGAAGCCCTAGCTTGGCAAGTCCATCTACGCAGAAATTCCCCTCTCTCTAGCTAGCAATGTCGAAAATATCTCTCCCAGTCTCTAGCAAAGAGGTCGCGATATTCATCAATAAGAAGTCCATTGCATTGGGCTCAAGCTCTCTATCCGCCGAGTTGCTGATCTTAAGAACTGCCTGGCCATCTCTCTCGCAAACTACCTTTCTCTAAGCCTCGTCCCAAGCTAGACTCAGCCCATATCTTTTGCCTTGTCATTATTATACAATATTATGAAAGGAGCTCCCCATCCCCAATTTAGTTGCTAAACCTAAGCTATCAACCATCTCTCCTCTGCCGATCTTCTTAGGTTAGGCCCCCTGCATCCGATTTATGGCGCTCTATCAGCAAAGGAGGGAGCTAAGGTAGTGGTATTCGCCTTTGCAGCTCTTAGTGAAAAAGGAGCTCTGCCATCTCTATCAGCTAGCCGCTCTTTCCCTCGTCTTAGCTAGTCTCATTTTCCTTCGGCTTCTGGCTGGTAAGGCTCACTTCACTTCTGGCTTCTGGCCAGGCATAGAATTCTTTGACCGGCTTTGGTCGAGCAACCGCGGAACGGCCACAGCCTACATAACTTGTCTCCCTCTTTTCAAGGAAGTCCGTCTCAGACCTTATGTAGTTCTCGGTCCTTTTTTATACAGTTCCTGACAGGTGCGTGGCTCTTCACTCCAGCCCTGAAGTATTCTGTGAGCCCAATCTGTTTCACCCCCGTTCCCACCTCTTGATTTTTTTGACTTTCTGTAAAAAAAGATGGGAAGAAGAGATGGCTTTTATAAGAACCTTATAGGGTTGGCTACGGTGGGTCCCAAATTCAACTTCTTTCACATAAGACTCGTATGTTTTGATCGACAGAAGTTTCCCCTTCGGGTAGAACAAAAAGGCCCGAATCTCATCTCGTTTGTTCCTTTGAGAAAGCTCATCCCGGGAATACCCGTCGGAGAGCAGAGCTTTCTCAATGGCCCTTTCGATTTGGACTTGTGCCTTTAGCACTTTGTCTTTCTTATCTTCCGACAACTCCACAAAATGAAACCCCGCGCGCTCATCTAGTTCGGCGCGACGAGTGTTGTCATCCAGTAAAGGAAGGGAAAGGTCAGGGTCCGGGTGAGGCTCTGGGGGCTCGGGGTTTACAGTGGGCAAGGACGACTGTGAGCTGGCGCCCACGTCGTCCATATAAAAGGTGGGCATCATTAAAATTAAAAAAGCAAGGATCGTGTAAAAAGACAAATCCGAAAACGAATACAGTATTTTTTTTAACACACAAAGAAATAGAGTCAAAAAGAATCCACTTACAAAAAGATATATATAGATATTCATTTTTTTCATCATATGTAACCTCTTCTATGTAACCTCTTCCTGCTCTATTGATCAAAAGCATCAAGCACTGCTGTAAGATAGCGCCGGTTGGGTTTACCAACCAAGAAAGACATGGGACTTGTGTTCATTAATGCCCCCAAGACTCAGGCAGCTATCTCGAGCTCACTGAACACTAACTTAATCCTAAATCTTTTGAATCCCGGCCTGGTTTTTCCCACTAACCAATTACGTTACGACCACTGAACAAACGTGGTTGACGAACAGGGTTTATGCGCCGCTAATGTAGCGGCTTGTCGAGCATTTGACAAAGTCACACCATCCATTTCAAATAGGACTTGTCCCGTGGACACACGAGCAATCCAACCCGTAGGATATCCTTTTCCTCTTCCCATTCTTACGTCTGTAGGTTGCCCGGTAATAGGGATATCTGCGAAAACGCTTACCCATATCTTACCATTTTTTCGGAATTGTCCGCTCATAGCACGATGGAAGTGTCCGATTATAGCCCGACGCGCTGCTTCAATGGCTCGATATGAAAGACGCCCAGCTCTACAACTTTGAGTGCCATATCTTCCAAAACCGAGTTTTGTTCCGTCTGGTTTGCACCCCCTACTACATCTGCCTTTACGATATTTACTAATTTTCGTACGTTTCGGATATAGCACGTCCCCCTTTTTTTTTACTATACGAAATCCACACTTTGACACCTGAGATTCCGTAACGAGTAGATACTTCCGCAGAAGCATAATCTATTTTCTGGTTAAATACATTACGAGATGTTTTTCCATACTTTCCGCATTCAGTTCTAGCTATTTCTGCGCCTTCTGATCGACCTGAACAACATATACGGATCCCCTCAACCCCTTTTTTCATTACTAATGGAATATCCTTCACTATTCTACTAAAAATGGAACGAAATGATCTTGTTTTCTTTCTCAGTTGAAAAGAAATGTCTTGAGCAATCGGAGAAGCACTTTGATAAACAGATTTGATCTTGACCGACTCAATTAAGGTATTCGTGTTTGTTCTATTAGACAACAAAGATCGCATTTTTTTCACTTCGTTCAAATAAGAGTTGTACCCGTACGGAATTCTTCTGTTTCTCAGTATGATCTCTATCATCATCTCTATTCCCTTTATCCATTCTCCTATCCTACCTAGGTCTATGAATTTCTCTATCAATTCCATTACCTTATCCTTACCCATGAGGTTCCAACATTTGATCCTTAATTGACCTAGGAGTGGTTCCCGGGCATCCTCAAAAGAAAGGTTATTATAAAAACCAACTCTATCCCTTGGAAAGAAAAAGGTAGCACCGAAGAAAGGAAAGAGCGAGATGGTTGTTTTTGTTGTTCCCGCGAAGCGAAGATCATTCGCCAAGCGAATGAAGTGGGTCAACCTCTTTTTGGCTTCGGCCAAACACTTTTTCTCGCTGGTCGAGCTTTCTACAAAAAAAGCGATGCGAGAACGTATTCTCTTATCTAAGCCTCTTCCCTGTTTCGCTCCCCCCATCGTGGATGGTTCAGCCACGCCCGGTGCCACGAAATGATTGAGAACTACGACGGGGTCGAAATGCATTTGGTTCTTTCTATTCAATAAGTATTGCATGACCGAATAATTCAAGGAGGGGCGCACTGCAGGGAGGGTCCTTTTAAATAGATGACTCGTCGGGCCGTCGGAGCGGGACTTCTTGGGGAAAAATAACTTAAATAACTTCCTTTTTCTGAAGGAGTCGTCATTTTCTATCAGGAACGCTATGTCATTTACAACCCCGGCGTATTTCGGATGCTTGAAGGCCCCGCTGACCCGAAGTGATTTATAAAGATTCTTCTTTATCGATGGTGATCGGTCATGGTATCCATAGCGTTGCTTCTTTTTCGGCCAAATCCTAATTTCGTTTTGCTTCTCCCGGTCGTCGAGCCTGATCGACTCGACTCTTTTCCCTGCCCTCCGGCCTCTCACTTCGTTTCGTTCTTCTTCTGTATTGTCGCTGGAATGAAGACACCCGATCGGCCCGACTTTCCCAAATGCCCACCACCGGCCCTTCTCCTTTCCGGGTCTGGATTTTTTGCGTCGTTTCAGTCGTCGTGGTCGACGGGGAAGAAAGAAATGAATGAATGTTCTTTTGGGAAAATGTATAAGAATACACCTACCGAGACGAAAGCCAAAGGTTAGTCTCGCAGGTGGACGTATCGAACCGAAATAAGATCTCAGATTGACATCTTTATACACTAATTTACCATAATAATAAATAGAGTCAATGGTGACTCCGCCGTGGGAATAGCCGCTTCTTTCTTGCTTTCAAGAGGGGCTTCCATTCACCTACGCAGACTAAAAGTGCTCTCCGAACCGTGCTGGATAGTCACCCATCACACGGCTCTCAAACCCAACCTGTGGTGAATCCCGGGAGACAAAGTCAAAGCGCTTGATCCTTTGCCCCATACTTTGAGATGCTTCTCCCCGCCGATCAAGCAGCGACGCTGCTCGTGATAGGCTTAGCTTTAAGCCGCTATCGTTCGGTTCGAATAAGTCAAGTCCCCTCGGTCGGTTCGCTCAGGTGGTCTTCCCTTATCTATCTTCTCTAACGTTCAGAGTTGTTCTGGTTTAAAAAAGGAGCACCGGCCGAGCGCCCTGAATGAATAAGAAATGGACAGCAAAGGGAATCAATGATTCTTATTCAACCGAGTTGAAGTTAGCAACATGTCGATTACACACCGGAGGTTGGTAAGAACTGAGGGACAATGCCCCCCTAACCTAAGTGGGCCTACCAGCGAAACAACTGGTACTGGATCGGGGGTGGGGGGGTTGGTTTCGTGCAAGGCCTTCGCAGCAGGAAGAGGCAGTTGTCATTTGAAGGGAAAGGCCCTTTGTCTTTGTATAGGGTTCCAAACCTGCGCACCCTGATTCAAAATTTCTATGTTCTTAGTCAAGCCTAAACTTATTGAAAACGAAAGCGCTAACGCTATAATAATTATTAAAATAGCAACCTTTCGCCTTATAAAACAAAACAAGTTTACTTACTAAAAAAAGAAAGCGGCAACAAGCACCTTCTTTCTCAAAGTCAAGTTTCTCGCTTCTTGCTTTAGAAAGATTGCAGCGTTAGCGCTTCTTGACTAAGAACATCATAGAAAGTCAAGGCTCCTCTCCTTTTCTACGAATCTACAACTCTCTTTACTGAGCGAGACTCCATCCATATCCCTACAAGTGGTTATATTCATAATTTTCCATTTTCTCATTTGTTTGACAGCCGGCTCCATTTTAGATAGGTTTTCGGTCTTAATAAAAAAATAGGTCAGGGGCGCGTCGGAACGGTCGGTGGCTGCTTAGTCTCATCCGAGAGTCTAATCTCTTTGTACTGCTTTTTTCTTTTTCAAATTAAAAAGAAGGGGGTCGATTTAGGCTCCTTCCCTTCCACTGCATAGCTGCGCTAGCAGGTACTATGAGCCCTCTGTCCCACGCATCTAACCAGCTCGCGTGGTTCACCGGTTCCACCGAAAACTCTCATTTGTTGAAGCGGAGCATAGTGCGCTTTAGGCGCCGAGCGAGAAAGGTCTCTTTCTTCTTTCGTTTCGGTTTATTCACTGATCTGAAACTTAGCACTTGTTTTCTTATTGATTCCAGGGGCGGCGGCGTTCTTGAATGAAGTCTATCCGAACCGAATTAGCACTTCTCAGATCAGGCTAGGCCTCTCCAGCGGAGCTGGGCGCCGGGGCCCTGGATGCGCTAGCGATCGGCACATAGGGGGTGGTTGCCCGGGTTTCTCGGCCTGGTATCCTGCACCTCGCGTTCATGATATCTACATTCAACTGTGCCCCGGAGACACGGTCGAAGCACGCCCGCCCAGTGTGCTTCTTTCACGACATGCTCTGGTCCCGGGTGTCTTCCAGTGGTCTTCTAGCGTTAGAAGAAGTCGTGTCCGTCCCGGACATCTGCAACGTCCTCCCAAGCTTTTTTATTCAACATATATAGGACAAACTGAAGGAAAAGACTGACCCATTCGGTGACTTTCGCGGTCGCCCTCACTGAACCGACTTGAATCTGAACTACGATTCAGATCGAGTCTTACCGAAATCGGATTTCCTTTTCGTGCCATATGCGCACTTTATTTACTTTTTCCCCTTTTTTCTTCCCGGTTTAATATTTGTTCTCGAAAGTCTTCGTTTCCGTGTAGAAGCAAACTCTCCAAATTGTTGACCAACCTTTCCTTCAATGATAGAGGCAAGAACACTTTCCGGCCAGGCCTTACTATAACCAACCTCACAGATCCCACTCCATCTTTTACACCGATGTATCGTACTCTCTCGACCAGGTCATCCAAAGAAAATACTGCGAAATCTTTCCGAAGTGAGAGAAGGAGGGAAGGCGCGCTACAACTAACATAACAGCCAGCTGAAAAACGCTAGCTAGCTAGGCTAGCGCGCAATGGCTTTCTGGGGGCTCGCTTCTTCAAGCTCCGCCCAACCTATACAAGGTGCTGCTCGCTTTCTCTCAGCCACCAGTGGCTTATGTAGTGGTCGGCATTCCTACGTGCTCCTCTTTGCCCCCTACTTAAGAATCCAAAGGTCACCTTTGGCTGTTGTCTTGACGCTTTGGTTACGAAAGTCGCCGGGGTCTAGGTTTATGGATGGATTTAGTCAGCGAAAGTCCCTCAAACTCAATCAATATCAACAACATGTCGTGACCGGTTAGGCTTGGTTTATTTTGTAAGAAAAGAAAGTAGGTTTCGGGGGTGGGTTCATTGATTAGTACACCTCCGGTGCTGATAAGGTCGGGACCGTGGTCGTCCGTCTCCGGTTTGCCGGCCGATAAGATCTCTGAGATTGACCAGCCAGCTGGGTTGAGTCCTTTTTAAGGCCAAAATCCCGAGAGTCCTCTGGACTTAGCTCCACTTCCAGCTACTCACAACTTTAGTGGAGATGCGGGTGAAGAAAATTAAGAAGTTGCATGAGCGAGAAAATTTCTAAGCAAAATGAGAAGTATCAAGCTCAAGCTAACAAGCATCGCAAGTTTTCTGAGTTCAAAGAAGGTGATCTGGTGTAGGTTCATCTTCGAAAGGAGCGTTTCCCGCGAGGACAATTTGCTAAGCTCAAGCCTAGAGCTGATGGACCATTCAAAGTTCTCAAACGCATGGGTGAAAATGCCTACAAGATTGAACTACCAGCTGAGTATGAGGTTTCAGAAACATTGAAAGTTTCTGATCTTTTTCCTTATTATGGTGAAGAAAGCACTAACGACTCGGGGGCGAGTCTTCTTCAACTTGACGGGGAAAACTAGAAATAAAGGAAGTAGTTTTGGCTGTAGTTTTTCTGGGTAAATTTCTTTATAAATGTCATAAAAGAGAGGGGCTTTCTTTCTTCAGCATGTGAGGGAAATGCCCCGGGTACCGAAGTTAGCGGATAGAGAGGGCGGCGGGTGGAGGGAGCTTCACTTACCGAGAGGGATGAATTCGAGTAGTAGTTAGGGGAGGATCAAATCCGCTACACCCCTTTTTTACCTATTTGCTTTTATTAACTTCTTCATTGAAGACATCCATGTAGAAGAACGTCGAATCCATTCTCGATCCAATAGAAGTAGGGGATGGATGGCATGTCTCATTAGCTGGCACTGGCTTTGGACACAGGGGGCAGGCTATTTGGCTAGAATATTATGCCTTTCTATCCCTTTTTGTGAGGAAAGGGGGAAGGGATCGTCATGCAAAAACTAGAAGAGGCTCCTCTCAGAGGTGGTCCTTCCTTCTATTGATCGGTTGAGTCGACGAGAGCTTTCCCAGAGATTCTCATAGATCGGATGATCCTGAGACCTATTGTACCTCAGTTGGGTAATCTTCCAGCGACTAAGCTATTTGTCTGGCCAGGCGCTTCTCTGTGGGCTCTTGGGAAACAGTCTCATCTGGTTGGTGGATATCTGGGAATTAGCAAAAAACAGTACCAAAGAGGGACTTAGCGGCAAAGAGGCGATTAGACAACATAGGAAATCTGGAACTTTGTTTACTGCACTTTCTCTTAAGCAGTGCGCGGTGTCACTGCAGCAAGCGTATGCAGGTTCCGAATCTCCGAAGACTCTGTTACCTTTTCCTGTCTCGTTGATGAGGTCAGGTTATCCCATGACTTTCTTATGAGTCAGCTGTGGCATTTAGGTTTCCTATCTACAATTCATTAAACACCAGAAAAGCATTGGAGTCTTTCTTTTTTTATGATCTCCGACCCCGCAAGGCACTACTGGGCGGAGCTTCTCAATCCAATTCCTTACCACAGTTTAAGCTTTCGTTCCTTTCGTATAGTGGAAAAGGGCTGGCTTTCCCTATACGGAAGAAATAAGAAAGAAACTTACTAAATTAAGAAGACCAAAGCCATAAGCTACAGCTTCCCCTGCCGGAGTTGTGCTTGGTGGAATTCAGGCCTCAAATCATCACTTTCTCACCGACCTTTACCCATGCTAAACGTGTCCCAGTTTACTAACGAACCGGTGACGTAAAGCTTCTATTCTCAATTGATCCTTTTTTCTTCCCCTCTGCAGCCTCACAGTTGTCTTTTATTGCCGGAATGACTCTTGGTGAGCAAATGAGCTCAAATCAAGCTAGAGAACTTCCTGAACCAGATAGTGTGACGGCGGAACTTATTGCTATCTATCAATTCCCAGAGTTTAGTTCAGAACCTCGTAGGCCGGGAATGCCATCAATAAGCCTTTTCCTCTCGGTGTCAGTGTCAGCCAAGTTAGCATCGGCTCCCCCAAAGCCATCATTTTAAGCTGATGACATTGATGAGTGATCCAACAGTCTTGAGTGGTAGTTCTCAAAGGAGAAGGGATCCGAGGTACTAAGTAGCTATGGAATGAAGGCGAACTAAAAGCTTTCTCCCATTCTCCTTCGATTCGTGACGTGATTAGCCGGAACAGTCGATTGATCTGATCTACTCATATCAGAGTACCGCGCCAATGTCGTTTAAGACAGCTGAGTTTGACAGACTCTGTACGGGAAGAAGGGCGGGGACACTCATTAAATTATTATTATTAATCACAGGTATGAGTTTTAGGGCGACGGGCCTACGCCTACTATGAGAAGTGCCCATCCTTCTCTCAGGTATTCTTTCGACCGCGTCTAAAAAAAGAAAAAAACTTGACCTTTTTTTTTTAAAGACATCCCTCGAGCTCCGCAGCTTTAACACCGGATGGAAGTACGGTCAGATGAATAGAACCAATACTATTAGTCTCAGCGACTATAGGTCGGTTGACGGCAAGGAAGGAAGTTAAGTTTTCCCCTATCCTGTATGATTTTTAAAAGTAGGGTCTGTAGGCAGAATAGCTGCCCTAGGCAAAAGACTCCGAAATCAGTGATTCATTAGATAGAGAAGTCGTGAAAAGTTCTCCGCGAGAAAGAAGGACGCGACTCCTCTCTAGCCTAGCACCCTTTCCCTCAAACCTGAGAACAGGCATCTCAGAAGGAAAGTTTTTGAACTTTCGGGCGATGTCCTTACTAAAGGACCGGATAAGCAGCTAGATCGATTCCTAACAGATTGGAAAATCTTTCTTTGCTTAAAACACAGGAGAGCTAACTCGATGATCGACCAAGCCATTCAATGGCATCGGTTTTTCCTAGACCTCAAAGACTGGCACCTCCTTCAGATTCTAGAAAGTAGAAGACAAGGATAAACAAACCAGACCTAACCTAGTTCCCCTTCTATTCTAAAAGAAGGCTAGTCTAGGCTAGTTGTCTAAGTAAGTCTCGCTAGTACCTTTTCAATTGGAAGAAAGGATAGTTAAATTCTAAGGTAAGCTTTCTTAGCCGACAAGCCAGCCTTCTTTTACCTCAAGCCTAAGGAGAAGATCGGTACATCGATTCATCGGCCAAAGAGTCCTGGAACTGAGTCCCTATAAGCAATAGAGGCCTCTCTGCAGGCTTTCACGGAACTACTTAGCCTAGCCTATAAGGATAAGGAGCTTTTCTAGCTCTTTTCTTTCTATTTACGAGAGTACTTCGCTTGTCCTCCTTCCCTTATGTCAATCAATAAAAGAAGTCAGTCTACCCCTTCTCTTTATTATACTAGGATAGCTAAGCTAGTAAATAAAAAATCCGGCTTGAAAGGACACATCTGCAAGGGAAAGGGCCATGATTCCATTCAAAAAAGGACTTCTTTTATTGCAGAACCTTACTTATCTTGCTTGCAAGCAAGCTTACTATATCAATCACTTAGAAAACCGCCTTAACTGAAAAAAAAAGGACTAGACCGCCTAGGTGGGAGGGCAAGACCTACTAGATCTGAAAAGAGTAAAGAAGTAATGAACTCTGGCGGATCTCTGAAGACTGTACCGAGTGGATATGAAGCCCTAGCTTGGCAAGTCCATCTACGCAGAAATTCCCCTCTCTCTAGCTAGCAATGTCGAAAATATCTCTCCCAGTCTCTAGCAAAGAGGTCGCGATATTCATCAATAAGAAGTCCATTGCATTGGGCTCAAGCTCTCTATCCGCCGAGTTGCTGATCTTAAGAACTGCCTGGCCATCTCTCTCGCAAACTACCTTTCTCTAAGCCTCGTCCCAAGCTAGACTCAGCCCATATCTTTTGCCTTGTCATTATTATACAATATTATGAAAGGAGCTCCCCATCCCCAATTTAGTTGCTAAACCTAAGCTATCAACCATCTCTCCTCTGCCGATCTTCTTAGGTTAGGCCCCCTGCATCCGATTTATGGCGCTCTATCAGCAAAGGAGGGAGCTAAGGTAGTGGTATTCGCCTTTGCAGCTCTTAGTGAAAAAGGAGCTCTGCCATCTCTATCAGCTAGCCGCTCTTTCCCTCGTCTTAGCTAGTCTCATTTTCCTTCGGCTTCTGGCTGGTAAGGCTCACTTCACTTCTGGCTTCTGGCCAGGCATAGAATTCTTTGACCGGCTTTGGTCGAGCAACCGCGGAACGGCCACAGCCTACATAACTTGTCTCCCTCTTTTCAAGGAAGTCCGTCTCAGACCTTATGTAGTTCTCGGTCCTTTTTTATACAGTTCCTGACAGGTGCGTGGCTCTTCACTCCAGCCCTGAAGTATTCTGTGAGCCCAATCTGTTTCACCCCCGTTCCCACCTCTTGATTTTTTTGACTTTCTGTAAAAAAAGATGGGAAGAAGAGATGGCTTTTATAAGAACCTTATAGGGTTGGCTACGGTGGGTCCCAAATTCAACTTCTTTCACATAAGACTCGTATGTTTTGATCGACAGAAGTTTCCCCTTCGGGTAGAACAAAAAGGCCCGAATCTCATCTCGTTTGTTCCTTTGAGAAAGCTCATCCCGGGAATACCCGTCGGAGAGCAGAGCTTTCTCAATGGCCCTTTCGATTTGGACTTGTGCCTTTAGCACTTTGTCTTTCTTATCTTCCGACAACTCCACAAAATGAAACCCCGCGCGCTCATCTAGTTCGGCGCGACGAGTGTTGTCATCCAGTAAAGGAAGGGAAAGGTCAGGGTCCGGGTGAGGCTCTGGGGGCTCGGGGTTTACAGTGGGCAAGGACGACTGTGAGCTGGCGCCCACGTCGTCCATATAAAAGGTGGGCATCATTAAAATTAAAAAAGCAAGGATCGTGTAAAAAGACAAATCCGAAAACGAATACAGTATTTTTTTTAACACACAAAGAAATAGAGTCAAAAAGAATCCACTTACAAAAAGATATATATAGATATTCATTTTTTTCATCATATGTAACCTCTTCTATGTAACCTCTTCCTGCTCTATTGATCAAAAGCATCAAGCACTGCTGTAAGATAGCGCCGGTTGGGTTTACCAACCAAGAAAGACATGGGACTTGTGTTCATTAATGCCCCCAAGACTCAGGCAGCTATCTCGAGCTCACTGAACACTAACTTAATCCTAAATCTTTCCCCTTAAGGGCGGATAGACCGTCCACCCAGTGCCGCTACCC